TATTCTTGGAAGTGGTCCATATCGACAGAAAAAAATTACAGTACTGGAAGGAAAGTATGTGTGTTTTGATCAGCAGACATGAACCGAAACTCTCGTGTCCCTTTGCACCGACGCATGCAAAAGAACAAAGGTTGAATTACACTAACATTTTGTTTCTGTAATTTTTTGCTTTTGTCACGGTAATTTTTTATGGCATTTTCTTCTTGTTGTATTGTCCCTATAGTGCGATTAGTCTGTTTTTCAAATGAGAAGACGTGCACGAAAGTTGATGGAGAAATCTACTTAATTGGCGGATTGGACTAAAAAAAATAGAACTATAAAGAATTTTGTATTTTAACTAAACAAAAGGAACCATCAATGCACCTGTTAGTAATTAAACCATTCTTAAATTTTCGAGATTAGGACTTAGTTTCTATCATTTTCGTTGATGATCAACAAAAATATCGTCGATATATAGTGATTAAATCACTATGTAGATGTAGGTTATATTGTACAGGGAGACTTGCTATCTTTCAAAGAGTAAAGTAGGGAGCCTCTCATTCTAAATCATAACCATTTTACTCTCTTAAAGTAACAAGCATTTTTGTACAATGTAACCTACATTTACATTGTGAAAACGAAAACAACGCCAACTTGGACATAACTTCAATTGAGGTTGCTGAACCACGACATGTCCTTGTGTTTTTTGAATTTGTCTAATTTACTCTCGGATTTAAGTTGATATAACTTTTACATACCAATAATAATCGTAAATTAGGCTGTCGATATATATATCAGTGAAAATCGACCTATAAAACCTTTGCATGGAGGAAACTGCAAACACAGTAAACAAATTGGATTACCAGTGCAATTAGACCAAGAAAAAACAAAAGGCACCTTCCTGATCTCTTAATTAACTAATTTACGTTTGTATTTTGTTCTTAAAACAAGGGACTTTCATGACGGTAAAATAATAGTGTATGTAGTGGACTGTGAAAAGAACCATCCTTCTGCCAGATGGTGAATAAAAATTGTAAGTTGAGGACAAAATCATAGCAGCCTGCAACTAGCAGAGAGCCTTATTTGCCTTCCAAGATTGCAGAATCCCAACGTCATCTGAGCACTCCACTATAACCCGAACACTGACTACTTTATACAAAAGCCATTTCGCATTTCAAAAAGTTTCAGAACTTGCTTCATATACCTAGCTTCCTTATTAACAAACTTAATTGGCTAGGGTTTATGTCATTCTAAAGACCTTGGCTTATTTTTTTTTTTTTTCACCTTTGGAATTTTAATTAACTACTCGATGGATGTTCGAGCACTGCTCCAGCTATCTCAAGGAGAACTTGACATTGCTCGAAAGGATATCGAGCAACTATAAACACTTCAACAATGCACGCACAGAATCACATCTAAATTATCGACACTCTTATGTTAAATTTATCAAGAATTCATATCATCCTCGTCTTCTGTAGAATCGAATATGAAGCATTTTTCAACTAAACAAAGATAGATGCATCTGGACCAAAATACCACTTTGTTTACAAAATTAATCGTTTAGGTAGGTCACTTGAAGAGGCATGAAAATGCCATTCTGCTAATTACAATTGACCTTGCCCTCTCACGAAGGAACCAAAAAATCAAAATGCCTAGTTTCGTGATCCATAAGCGAATAAGGGCGCAGGAAAAAAAAATGGACCACCTCTCGCATTGAAAATTTTTAGTTAAAACTAGGAAAGCACATATGGTACGTGGATAAGTGTGAGAATTTTTTTTAGAAGAAGCAATTTTTCAGTATGCCAGAAACACAATTTGGTATACTAAGTGTAATAATACAATTGGTTGAAAATTAATTTTTTCATGTTTTTAACCAATTATTTTATTACTTATAGTGTATCGAACTATTATTCTAGTACACTGAAAAATCTATCATTTAAAAAGGAAAACTTTGGATAATGGAGAGTTTTAAACGCAATTAACATGAACTTTAGCCAATAATCAAGGATCTTTGCAAGCTTCACCAGATTGGTTTATCCCAAGCTTAATCCCACAAGTAACCAATTATTTCAAGGACAAGCTTCCAAAATTTTATTTGTGATTGAGTTAACTAAAAGTGGGTGGGAAGTTGCTTTCACAAAGTAGAACATTGGTCTCAAGCATTTGGACATTGGCTTAGGGGAAATTTTCTGCCGTAATAGTTACACCACTGAGTGATACTATTAGTTTTTTAGAATAAACTTACTTGACGGATACCGTTATAAATATTGTTTTGGATTGCTTTTAATAATCTGAATTGTCTAGTTTATAGCTCTTCATCAAAAGATTATTTTTGCATAACATCAGGGCGTTTCCAAAGAGAAAATGCAAATTTGAAATGCAAAAAATCATATTTATACCCATTTTACATTTCCAGCAAATGTAAATGAAAGTTCTATCTCGGTAGGCTCCAGATTTGAGATCTCATTTAACTTTCTCACTTTAATTAGTGGGACTCATTACAAAAATATGTAAAAAGAATGTAAACTTAAGTTTTTATCTACATCTTCCTGCCAAAACGTCTAATTTACATTCCGTCATTGGAGAATTTTTCAACAAAAAGAAAAATGTAATAGAGAGATGTAAATTGAGATCTCATTTAGTTTACTTTGATTAGCAAGACTCATCATCAAAAGATGTAAAAATAAATATAAATATAAGTTTTTATTTACACCTTCTGGCCAAGACGTATAAATATACATCCACCATTGAAGAATTTATCGACAAAAAGAAAGATGTAACATGACCATTTCAAGACATGTAAATATTTAATGATTCAAATAATAGTTCATTTTAATATTTTCTCAAAACATCGTAATTATCTATCTTCTATTGTACTTTACAATTTTGTCTATGAAGACTTAAGAAACAAAAAGTTCGAACCTTTGAAAGAAACTTTGGAGCGGCCTGAACAAGGTGTCCATAAATAAAGTTTTCTACATTCCCTAATAAAATAGGACATTCGCATTTTACATCTTTGAAATATTAATCTTATCGTTTAATAGTTTTATAACGCATAAATTAATAACAGTGGAATATGTTAAGATAACACTCAAATTTGTTTTGATTAGGTCCAACTTCTAACTTATATAATTCAGAAATTGACCCCACTACATGCTATTATAGCTGATTCTGACCCTACCTGAATTTCCCCATTTTTAATGTTTATGATAACAAAAGCGAAATGGATAGAAGGAGCTTTCAAGATTTAAATAATGCTACTAAATTTTGTAAAATTATACAGACGCCATCATTGTTATGTGGCTCAAAATATAAAATACCCTAAATTTCCAAGCAGGAAATTAAAACAACGCAGCTTCCGAAAAAGGTTATGGACCCGGTGGTTCAGTACGAGGCTCTTGTAAACGGCAAGTCAGCAGAATTCATGTAGTGAAGGTGCTATCTGCGCGGGGCGTGGAGGATTACAAGTAGAAGAGATTTTGCAGATTAGGGTTTATGTGTTCAGGACCTTTTCCAAAGATTATGATCGTGTAAAGTTGGCATCACGGACTACTTGGGATTTTCTGTGTTGGCATTCGCTTGGTTTTCGTAACAATTTTCTTCTTGCTGTTACGGGATGTTTAGGTTCGATAACACATTATCATGTATATTTTTTTTATGCACGACAATGCGTTATTGAAGTAGAACACTACAGTGATGGTAAACTCGTCCTAAGTAAGTAATTTCCTTAAACCATGCCATATTGACTCGATAGTGTATTCGGTAATGCTACCTCATCTACGAGTCTCACTCGAAGGTTTTCATGTTCCTTCATCTCGCTCATGTTCTTTGTTCAAAATTAAGAAATGATACTACAGATTGTCATTGTCCATATGGATCAACCTACATTTGTCACAAATTTTACCAACGAAGACCCTTAACTATTTTCATATTTGTCATTCCTTTTTTAAATTTTGAATCAAATTCTAGGGAGTGAACTGCTGAATCCGTCCAAGGTTTTCCAGCATTTTTTTAAGATAAAACTAACAGTGATGAAGAGACGATAACATGTTATATGGTAAATAGAAGAGAGTTTTAACGAAAAGTTCATGGTATTGTTCACTTTAACAAAAAATCAAATTTTTAACACTAAAAAGTCAAATCTGGCACTATTCATTTTACCCTTTATTTTGTCTTTATCGTTAGAACTCAAAGTTTTCAAATCATTTTGATTAGTTTTTCTTAAATAGAATTATGTCACATCTTTAGAAGAAAATACGACAAAACCCATTGATGGTGTAACTGTATAATTTGCTGACAGGCTACAGCCTCGCCCCACAGTTCTAAATCAGACCTCCAAGATCAGTACCAAATATGGATCAAAGCACAGTTTCGTCAATACCAATTCAAGAAATTGGGAATATAAGTAAGATATGCCACATTTAATGAACCACACTAAATCTACCAAATTCCGTAGAAGGAGATTCAAACTTGAAGACAAGACATAAAAACGAGGAAGCATTTTTGTTTATCATCATTTTAGTGTAGTGTATGTTGATCATCCTATTTATCATCGTTAGATAAATTTGAATTTCGAAATTCGTGTAATGGATAAATACAAATCTCAAAATTCAAACTTATATGATAAATAAGATAGTGAGCATATACCACATTAAATGATGATGAGCAAAAATGCATTTTAAAAGTAAAAACTATTCTCTCACGACATTCACGAGTACATACTATTCTAACTGACTTGACTAAACTCTGGCTAAACTCAGAAACCCAAATAGTGCTTGTCATAACTCACGAGACATCACGAGTATCTACCGAGTTTTCTTCAGCCTTTCGTCATCGGATTCTTTTGCCCAACTCCCCCTCCCCCTCCCTAGTTTAAAAACAAGAAAATAGGAAATAAAGAATTGAATATTCAGCAGAGTTTAAAAAATTAATTAGAATATAATTATCCACTGAAAAGAATATAAAACATCAGACTGAAAATTATTACCTTCTCTTTTCCTTGATTTTCGCACACTAAAATATGAAATTTGTAAAAATATCACTTTATTTTTTGCTACTAGTAAATCCGACCCTTACATCAAAAATATAGAAGGGATCAAACGGTTGTTATGCTCTACCATATAAAGCATATACAGGGGCATATACGATATTTCACTTCCTCTAACAGTCAAAAGTAAAATTAAAACAAAAAAGTTTCAAAAATTATCAAAATTTTACGGTTCATATTTCATGACAGAAGCCAAACCGGTCACGATTTTTACTCCGGTCACCGCCGATCTTTTCGGCTTCAGCTCCGGCGGCTTCCACTCCTTCGCCGCCTCCATCGCCTTCTCTTCCTCACCGGAACTCGCCGACAACTCAAACACCGACTCGTCGCCCAACTCACCATCCTCAACCGAGCTTGTCCCGCCCAGACTCAGTCCCGAGTCGCCTGACCCGATCAGTGGCTGAGTCGAATCGGACGGCGCCGGTGTGGCTCTAGTGTGAGGAGACAGCCACTTGGCCCTGATGTACTCGGCTTTTCTCCACGGTGGAACTGGCATCCCCTTCTTCTTCAAGCTCTGCTTCGCCGCCTCCGACACCACCGCGATGATCCCCCACAGCCGGTCGTGCTTCCCGACGAAAATGTACGGAAGCGTCTGGAGAATCGCCTTGTAGCTCTTCGTCGGCCGTGCGATCTCGAATTCCGATCTGAAATCGACGTCGATCAGCAGTCTCTCTCCTTTGACGATCACGTCAATGTAATCATATTCTCCTGCAAAAAAAAAAATAATTCAGCAAATTCAGTCCCGATAATTTCCTACATTTAAGAAACGGCGTCGTATGGTTAGATATTTTTGTGAGGCGGAGAGAGGGAAAGTACCGGCGGGATAGGACGGAGCTTTTTCCCAACGAGATTTGCAGACCGACGCGTCGTATCCGAGAGCTAACAGACTATCAGAAACGACGGTTCTGCAGGTGTCGTCTTTCCGCTTGCAGCAGGCCTTGTTTCTCTCAACAATCTTCGCTGTGTCGGCTAGCAGGTTCCTCTCGCTCACGCTCTGGCACGAAACCAAACCCTGTGGAAAAACCATTTGACCTCAAAACGGAGTCGTTTTTGGGCTGTTGAAACTCCAGAGGATATCAGATATTTTTTGTTTACCTTGAGAAGCTCACATGATTCGGCAGAGGACGCCACGTTGGAGTCGCCGAAACCGCCAAACAGCTCCGATTCGTCTTCCGAACTGTCGTTTCCGTTGAAGCAGTTGCAGCGGTTCCGGCTGCACCGCGCCGCAGTCGATGATTGCTTCTCGTTGCTCTCCTCGATGAAATTCTGAACCATCTTCGTCAAGCACATGGAGCTCGGCTCGAACTCGGCCGATCCTCCGCCGCCTCCGTCTTTGTTGAAATGCAGCTCTTCCATTCCGATTCCTCCGCTGGTCTTCTCCGTCGCCGCTGAGCTTTTCAATACGTTCGTGAACGGCCGCTCGAACAGCCGCTTGAGCCGCGACTTCGCCGCCACCGGCTTGACCGGCTCGAACAGAGTCAGTTCTTCAGGACTCGTGCGAAAATCGATCGGTTGGATTTTCATTGGAAAAGGCATGATCGGCGTGATCAAATTCACGAGAACAAAAAAAATTCAGAACGTCCGATCGTCTTCACAAACTTCCTCCATTTCCACAAGGTTAAAGCTTCCTCTCGAGCTTAATCAAAAAAATTAAGCCTGATTCTCTACCTATTATACTAATCTATTTTCTCTCCGCAATCAATTACAAAATTCGAGAACGAAAAGCTAAACTTTTCACTAAAAACCGAAATTACAAATTCAAAGCCCGAAAACAAAAAGCAGAGGGTTCTAATGCCGATACATCGATCGAAATCCTTCACTGACAACTCCACAGAATCTTCTCGCGACTGAGATCGATGAATCGAAGCAGAAATCAAGAAAACTTGGAGAAAAATAATCCGGATTTTAGCTAAATTCGAGGCTCCGGAGCGAGAAGAAGAAGAACAAGTAGCAAGTACCTTTTAATCTCCAATATTATATAGTTTCTTCTGCCTCCAGTTTGCCAAACAAAGCATGGAATAACTTCGAAACTCTGCCAAGTAAAAGTCGCTTTTGCGTAGGATTTTCTCTGGAAATGCGGTTCTTAGGATTCCCGAGATACGCGACGGCAAGAGAACGTCATGATGCTGCCCCTGCTGTTCTCCTCAATTCCAAGACGATCGGCCGCCGTAAACTCCATTCTCCGGCGATACAAGTCTCAGTTCGCCGCCGACGAAACCCAGAAATTTCAAGAGGGAGGTGAAAACGAAATGAGAGCTTCCTTCCTCTGTTTATGGTTTTTGGTGTGCTTAGGAGCCCAAAAGAGCAGCAGGGGTGAGCTATAAAGAGAGGAGCTGCTGACTAGGACTATGCCGCCACTTGTGTATCCTACATGGCACAGTACCTAATCCGTCACGGGAGGGTTACGTTTCGGAGGCGCGAACCGGGTTCGTTTCGCTGTTTTCTTTCCGTGCCGACACGTTGTGGTTTTGCGGCTACGTGGCGAGTTGGGTCCGCATTTTTATACCGAAAGTACACTCAGACTTTTGGTATAATTACCGAGGGTGCGGTGTTTTTTTTTTTTGAAGAAGAAGATATATTCTTCATATCTCTTCCATCAAGATCACCAGATTAAGTGTTTCAGGTTTTTAAAAATTTATCCAATAATAAAAAATAATTATAATTTTTAAAGTATCAAAACAGGTAAGTTGTTAAATAAAATTTTAAAAATCTGAATCATTTAATCCGACTTAGAGATCTGAAGATGATATCTTCTTGTTTTTTTTGAACCGCTCGTGATATGGAGGCGCCCAATCCCAAAACCGCCCTCACGTTCCTGGCGTGGTCCGAGTTCCAAAAACAATCGGTTTTTCTGGTTCTTTTTTTACTTGTTTTTACTGAAATATCCTCCTCCGGGTGGAGATAAGAGTTGGATAGGGACGGATTTTCAGGCCGCGTTGCCGGATGTGCATTAGGGCAGATTCGTCATTTTGGTCCTTCTAACTTCCAGGTTTGATTGCGGTGGTTGGTGCGCCTTGTATGACAGAAAGGCCCTTTGGCGAACCTGAAATTAACGTGGCCCTTTTTGCCCTTTTTATTTTCTTTTTGTTATTTTTAGAGGTATTTTCTGGAAGTACCCCTGTAGTAATGGTAAAATAGTTTTTGGCCCCTCAAAAAATTAAATATAAATTTCTAGTTGTACTATACGTGCCCATGTGACTCGAGGTGTTGTTTCACAAAACGGTTTTTGTGTAGCCAGTTATTTAAACATATGTCCGTCTTTTGATCAATGCGAAAATCAAACACACAACACAATAGAACACTTGTACTACCTTGTATTTTAAAATTTTATCCTTCCAGCTCCCTTTTTCGAAATTATATACAGGCAAAAGCGCTATGTTTTTGTTTTCACCTTTTTGTCTTAGATATGCTCTTTAACCTTAAAAAAATATGTTGTTTCTTAAACTAACGGTCTATAATTTGTAACTTCCATTGATTAGTGAAGCACCATAATTTTGTTGATTATCTATAATATTGATTAAACATCAAATTATAGACCAAACAATGTATTTCCACCTAAGGTATACATATACCTTAAATTTATAGGGTAAAATTTGGGAAAAAGAAATTGGCGAAACCAACCAAAGTGATGGTGAAAGCTATAAAGAAAACTGAAAAATAAAAAAATAAAAAAATAAACCGACAAGCTAAAGTTTGGGGGGCCAGAGAAAATTCAGAGGGGGTGGGGTCCATATTTCGATGACCGTTGAGTGCTTGATGCCACTCTCTTTTTCACTTTCTATTTTTTCTCAAAAAGTTAAAAAAAAAAAAAAAAATAATAGAAATACTTTATGAGTTTATCCATCTTAAATTATTTTAATTTTTCTTGAAAAACTTGTTAATCTCTACTAATTAATAAAACATTAATTGTCAATCAAAATTCTATGAATTTACCAGTTTAACCATATAATTAAAACATAACATAAATAAGAAATATGGGACATAAATGTAATCCTAACATATCTCTAATTTAAAAATATAAATAAATAAATAAATAATTTCTCACTCCCACATTCTTTGTCACTCTTTTCCTCGAGAAAAACTTGTGTGGGGCTTTGCTTGTCATTGGATTTTGCTGAGTGACACTACAATCCAATTAAAACTTGTCACATGGCAAGTCTTAAATATTATCTCTTATCATTCTTTTATAATTAAAATTCTCATAATTATTTTTCCTACTAATTAATATACATCATGAGATTAATTTGATGTATATTTTTCTTCTCCCCCTCCCTCTTTTTCTTCCCAAATTTTCCCTTTTGGTACTTTTATGTTTTGTCGTAGAAGTCTTTAGTTTCTTCTCTCTCTCACACTTCTACCATCATGTTAAAGATGGCTAATCAACCAAAATAGTTGTACTTCAACCAAAATAAAGTGAAGGATAACCAATAAATTGTGAAAAGATCAACTCGATTGTATGGAGTGAGTCTGCAAGATTGTATTTAGAGTTTGCTACAAAATATTCTAATCCTTTATAGGAAAAACATAAATACGCAAATTACAACTCAGATATATATAAAACAGGATGAGCTGTTGGGCAATGAAATTGTGCTTATAATTGAAAAAAAAAATTAATAAACAGCTTTTGTAAAAAAAAAAAATATTAAAAAATATTAAAAAATTAAAAAAAAAAAAGAGAAAAGAAAAAAAACGAAAAAAAGAAGTATAGGTTTGGAGAAGATGACTTTGTTTTTGCCCCATATTCTTATGAAGAAAGGAAATAAAGAGGGGGAAGAAGACTGCACACGGCAGAGAAAACTGGGGAAGAAAAATAAGCGAGAATGAGAAGAGGAAAAAAAAAATGAAAAAAAAGGAACAGACAAATTTTGTTAAACATCAACCCTGTGTTAGAATATATATATATCACAGTTTTATTTCATTATAGATGGAGAAGATGGTTTAATTTTTTTTCCCATTATTCTTATGAAGGAAGGAAATGCACAGAGTGGGGAAGAAGCCGGCACTGGCAGAGAGAAAATTTGAGAAGAAAAAGGGAAGACAGAGGAGATCAGAGGAAAATTGAAATCTTAAATTAATCTTATATAAAGTAATAGGAAATATAATTATGAAAGTTTTAAATATTAAAGAAAAATAATAAAAGATAATATTTAAGACTTGTCACGTTGCGAGTTTTGATTGGATTGTAGTGCCACTCAACAAAATCTAGTGGTAAGTAAAGCCCCACACAAGTTTTTCTCCTTTTCCTCTCTCCTTCTATTTCAAAAACAAAAATAAAAAACTTTCTCCCACCTATATGCTAGTATTCTCATTAAATGAAGGGTTGATTTGACAAAAAACCATATAAAAATAGTCATGTGGTCGTTCACGTGATAATTAAATTCAAGGAACAAGTAAACTCAGGGACTACTTCTATTGAATTTTATTGTAAAGGCAAAGTGAAGAGTTATGTCAAATTCAATGACCATTTCCACTATAATGCTAAAGAAAATATGAGATTAATCTGGAAAGTAGGGCTATTTTGGGAAAGCAGGGCATTTTCCTTTTAATTGATGCAAAGCTATTTGTGTAGGCCGGGACACGTGTCCAGTAAGTGGTAGTGATGTCCGTTAGATTGCTTCGGCTGATTGCCAAATCACCAAAATAACCCCCCCCCCCCTTAGAATTTGAATCCTCACAGTTGTCGTTGAGACAAATCGGGTTCGGATCTATAGATCCAGCTTTCAAAGCCCGTTAGGACTAGTAGGCCCATAAGTTTTGATGTGGACAACAGTAGGTTGAAAAGGAAAGAGTTAGGTATTCAGGTAAAATGGACCACCAAAAACACTGTTGAAATGACATATATGTACCACTAAAGTACGTACAATATAAGTCTCTCTATAGTGGGAGTGTAGATACTTACATTTAGAAAAATGTTAGAAAGACCGTCTTGTTTTATACTATATTTTGTAGATCAATGTGGTATTTGATGGTTAAATTTCCTTTTTTTAATGATTAAAAAAAAAAATCTAACTATCAACTGCTGCATTGTATAATTTATAAATTTAATGTAAAAAGATGATCTCTTCAACATCACCATTACATTTAGCACAAACTCCCAAGAACGATGTTGAAATGATAATGCCACCTGATGTGACCATTTGACGAGTACAAGTACTTTGTGTTTTATCCACACAAAAATGTAGAATGATTGAATAGCTTTTAAGGCTTAGTTGGTGTACTTTAAGCACGAGAGATTCTACATTGTTTCCAAATGTATTAAAAAATATATAATATTTTTCTTCGCATTTTCATTAAGTTTGAAGGTCCCCATGAACATGAGGAGCAAAGGTCGTATCAAAATGAGTTGTCCTAGAGTCAATTGAGAACGCGCATGTTACATCATCTCAACTCTTGAAAAGTATCGGCAATATATATTTCCACTAAGTGTGGAGGTAACAACATCGCAATTCTTGAATAGTGTGTGAAATTTATTGTCAATTGAATGTCGTGGTACTGTCTATCGAGCATGAGCTCGTAATATCTTTTCAATCCTTCATGAATGTATCACGCGCTCATACTCGATTAACCAAATTATTGACGTAATGATTATATTCGATAATTTGTTTATTTAATCAACTGAAATTGAAGGAACTAAAATTTGAAAGATGAAACTTTTTTATTGAATTTGTTGTTACTTGTGGGTTTGAGTAAGGTATATAGTATAGATAATATGTGAGTTTTTAAATTATTTTTCTTATACTAATGTTTGCTTTGAGGAGGGTGCATCCTAACGGAATCTTAATTTAACTCATAAATAATTCTACAAGCAAGCACTGCCAAAGCAACCATCATTCATGCAAATTAAGAATTAATACAAGGTTAATTGGAGTTTTGGTCAACTTTAATTTAAAGAAATGCGATACCTTAAGGAGAAGTCAAGCATTCCTAATTTCCGTTCCCTATATTACAAGAAAATTGTCAGTTTGCCGATAACACAGCTCGGCATACAAGTGTTATAACATAATTCGTTGAAATTTTGTTTCATTTCTAACTAATTATATTATGACACTTGATAAATTAGGTTGTGTTTGGTACACTACAAATCTTTCATTGCTTACAGCATCTTAGTTTGTTGTTTTGTAATATAACAACAATTTTCGATCGTATTTAATTATAGTGATGACGTGATGAAATGGTTAGTGTCTAATTACTATACGAAGTGTATCTATCTAGGATTTCTAACTTCAACTTGATCCAAATTATTAAGGAAAGATTACTTATTCTTCAAGCAAGTTCATAGGTCAATTTTCCCCATCATCT